TTGCCGGAAGAAATACCAACAACCTCAGATATGCAGATGATACTACGCTGATGGCAGAAAGTGAGGAGGAATTAAGGAACTTTGTAATGAGGGTGAAAGAGAAGAGTGCAAAAAACGGTCTGAAGCTCAACATAAAAAAAACCTAAGGTTGTGGTCCCCGGTACCATTACCTCCTGTCAAATCGAAGGGGAAGATATGGAGGCAGTGACAGCAGCCACGAAATTAAAAGGCGCCTGCTTCTGGGGAGGAAAGCGATGACAAACCTAGACAGCAGGGACATCACCTTGCCGACAAAGGTCCGGATAGTCAAAGCTATGGTTTTTCCAGTAGCAATGTATGGAAGCGAGAGCTGGACCGCCAAGGAATTCATGCTTTTGAACTGTGGTGCTGGAGGAGACTCTTGAGAGTCCCCTGGACTGCAAGGAGAATAAACCTATCCATTCTGAAAGAAATCAAGCCTCAGTGCTCACTGGAAGGACAGATCCTGAAGCTGAGGCTCCAATACTTTGGCCATCTCAGAAGAAGAGAAGACTCCCCAGAAAAGATCCTGATGTTGGGAAAGTGTGAAGGCAGGAGGAGAAGAGGACGACAGAGGATGAGATGGATGGACAATGTCATCGAAGCTACCAACATGAATTTGACCAAACTCCGGGAGGCAGTGGAAGACAGGAGGACCTGGCGTGCTCTGGTCCATGGGGTCACGAAGAGTCAGACTTAACAACTAAACAACAACAACAACAAAACATCTTCATGTGCACCTTACCAATTAACATGCGGTATTTGTGTGGGTGCCGTGCATCTTCAATTACAGGGATAATGTTGGTCCGTTTCTTTGCTACATTAATGAGGTCGCGACCTGAGCGATGAGAGAACTCCACAGCGTACACAAGGCCTTCCTGTTCGAAGAAGAAAACAAAGAAAGCCAATGGGATATCCACTGGGCTGCACAATGGCAAACACCACCATGAATGTCTGTAACAACAGGAAATATCCAAAAGGCACAGGACACTCACTGCTATAGCTATTAATTATACTTTGGATGAAACCTCTACAAATGAAGGACTCAAAAAGTAAAACTCAGCATAATCTATTGCCTTGTCAGAGATTGTAAAAGGGATTGTTTAGACTACAGCTTCCCCCCATCTCTCTGCCAGTAAAGAAGCAGTGGAAGAGCCCTGGGCTTCTGATCATATTTAGACACTGTACTACCAAAACATAGCTTCATGCCTAAACAATCACTTACACAGTTCCAGTTTCAGACACTGATTAAACTAGAATTAGACTGTCCTTCACAAACATAGGCTTCCTCCCTATCTGCCCCGAGTACCAAACTCAGTGGAGATTGTCTGTGGACAGAGACAGAGATGGAAAAAAGAGAGAGAATGATTCCCTACGATCCCACTGATGATCAAGTTTGTGATGGAAGCCCAGGTGGCCCTCATGTCTGCTCAACCAAACATTTCACTTTCAAGCACCCGATCAGCTCCTTACTGGTCCAACTATGTCGGAAACATGAGACACCGTCGTCCCTGAAGCCGCTCCCAGGTACAACACTTTGGCACCCGGCTTGATGTGGATCTGATCGATGCCCCCAAGAATGGCAGCTGCCAGTTTGGAGCGGAAGGGATTCCAGGCACGGTATTCCACCTTTTGTTCACTGTCCTTGAAGAGGAGAGAGAAACCTTAAGTGAGGTTTGAAATTCGGGGTTAACAAAATAGAAGAAATACTACCTGAATCTTTTTAATGTGCTGCATTAATACACAGCCTTTGTTTCCCATGTGGTCAAGACAGTGTTCACAGCTCTCAGCTATCCCAGTTTATCCTCAATTCTCTGTAAGGTAGTTTATGCTGTGAAAAGAGTGACTGGCCCGAAGTTACCCATGGGTTTTTCGACTGAGCGGGGACTAAAACCCAAATTCTCCACATCCCACATTGGCTACTACTATTGCAGGCACTAGAAACTGTCTTTCTACTCCATTACTTTAAGTTTTCCAAAATATGACCCGTGACTCACCTCCACAGAAATTCTCTTTTCTCCATAGACAGACTCTCCAGGGACTAGGTTCCGTGTGACCAGTGCATCTTCCTTTCCTCTACAGATGAAGACACCTAAGGGCATTGATTAAAAAAAAATAAGACGGCTGTGTGGCTCAAGGAAAATGCTCCCCATCAAAGCTCATATCTGGGCAATACCTTTATTAAAATGCCAATGAGAGAAACAATTGATGCCTATGGAGTAGGCATGGCCAACATGCAACCTTCAGATGTTACTGAACTGCAACTCTCATCATCCCTTACTACTGCCTATGCTTAATTTTAATCATCATCACCACCACTACCACCATAATCTTAGAACTGCAGAGCTGGAAGGAAACCTATGGACCATCAAGTCTAACACCTCTCAAATGGGGAATCAAACGCCTGACCTCTGGATCCTCAACCAAATACCTAAGCTATCCAGCCGTTTTTTCAGCTTGCTATGGCTGGCAGAAAATCAGATATTTGGATTACTGTAAGCTAGCCACTTTAGCTATAGAACTCCCAGTAATTAAAAATGGTACGTAGTGATGGGAAAGTTCCACAAATTTTAAGCAATGGAAAATCACCATTCCTTTTCCCCAACTTTCTGGAAAACCAGGAAAATTAAAGCACAATACTTCTTCTTGTATCAAGTCCAAGCCACTTTGAAAGTATCACATTTTACAGTGTAGTTAACAACTAAAGTTATACTACTGGGCATACTAATGAAAATTTTAAAATATGGAAGCCTCAAAATTGTGAATATAACCTATAGTAAAGAGAGATCAATGAACTACTCTCTATAAGCATGAAGAGCCCACTGTGTTCTCCTCTCATGAAAACGACAACATTCCACCACTTCCAACATCTGCAGAAATGTATCTTGAATTTAAAACTGTATATGGCCGTAGTATACACAAGAATTTTTGTTCTCTAATTAAGCATAACAAATTCATCATATCTATGTTAGAGATGTAAGAAAGAGAAAGGGACATACATGCATAAGTGGTGTTCTTGTGAGAAGAAAAAATGGAGCTTGGTTTTTAATGAAATAAGACATAATGGGAAGTGATATACAGCTGTCTCCTATGATTGCTCTACTGAACACTGCAAAGAATAAGTAAGTAAAGAAAGAGAAAGAAAAAGGACTTAATTACCATAATGGTAATTGTGGCAAGGCTACTAATTGTAAAGAATTGGAAACACGACAATCAGATTAATATGGAAGAAATGCGCAGAGAAATGTGGAATGTGGCAATTGATGATAAATTGACCTGTGATATGAAAATTAGAAGATGTATGTATGTTAAAAAAATAATGATTTTAGAGAAATATGGAGTCCATTTCTAGGACATGTCTTGACTAAAGGGAAAGGATACAGATTAAAAGTAGAATCAATGTATTCCTGGAAAGACATGGAGTGGCATGAATTGTAAAGTTAAAGTAACAGAACCTAGTCTCAAAGGGGAGGATGGCACTATGTGAAGGAAAAAAAATATTAAGAGTGAAATTGAATAATAGTGAATTTAAAGAGTGTATTGCAGTTTATCTTTGAATTTTATTGTCTTTTGTGTTTGTTATATTATAGAGTCAACAAAAAAAGTAAAAATAATTTTTGTTTTCTGCTTCTGAACATCTTACACAGAAAACGTCACACTGTGCAGTACTGGCATTTAAGTCAGGAACACAGGTTTTTAAAAACTGTTTATTCCAAATGAGAACATATTTCATTGGAGGTTTTTCCAAGGTTCCTGAAAGTCTCCAATTTTTCCCTTGGAAAAACTGGAAGTATTTTCTTGAAAGAAAAATCTCCCTCAAAGGTTCCCCTTCCCAGTCCTTTATATCCCAACCTTTTCCACCCATCAGTCTGTTAAGGAACCTGGCCCCTAACAAGTGTGCCACTAACAAAATGTTCAGTTTTCTCTAGAAGCAAACAAAACAAAAAACCAAAAGTACTGTAAGCAGCTTTAACTTTCCCCAAGAAAGATATTTTATGTTCACCAACATTCCTGCTTACACTAAGTTTTAGAGACAGAAAAACTGCACAAGTATTGTGTATGCATACAAAGAAACAAAATCCATAACTTAATGGGTAGTTCAAAACAGAAATACTGCTTATAAATTTCATTGCTCCTGAAACTGTACAACACAGTTAGGAAACAAAAATTTAGTTGGGAATAATACTGAAACATTCTTAACAAATGTTCTGATAACCCTGCATCATCATCATCATCATCATCATCATCATCATTATTATTTTATTTATTGTATTTATACCCCGCCTATCTAGTCATTTCGACCACTCTAGGCGGCTTACAACATAAAACATAACAAGTTCAAGAAAAATGTATAAAGTTAATGGGTAGTTCAAAACAGCAATACTGCTTATACATTTCAATACTACTGAAGCTGTCCAACACAAAGTTAGTAAACAAAAATGTAGTTGGGAATAATACTGAAACATTCTTACCAAATGTTCTGATAACCCTGCATTACCTATGTATCCCACCATTCATAAATATACTATCCACTGACAATCACTGATGTAGGAGACATACTTTGTGTCACTCAGGATTCAAGTGTCCCAGACAGACCTAGGTCCAAAATGCATTATTTATTCATTTAATTATTTAAAATATTTCTTACCTATGTATCCCACCCTTCATACATATATTATCCACTGAGAATCACTGATGTAGGGGACATACTTTGTGTCATTCAGGATTTAAGTGTCCCCGACAGACCTAGGTCCGAAATGCATTATTTATTCATTTAATTATTTAAAATATTTTTTACTCTGCCTTTCTCCTTAAAAAGGACACAAGAAGGCGTACATCATTAAAATACAGTATTTAAAAACTAAAAACAGTATTATGCAAATATTAAAAACAATCAAACAAGTACATACCACACTAAAAATGGTAAACAAAAGCAACACACACAAAAAGATACAACGCATAACACTTAATTTAAAACCCCTCTCAAGAGAGCCAATAACTAAGGGAAAGCTTGCCTCAAGAGAAAGGCCTTGAAGGAGGACAGCAGATATGCGGCCATTGTGGCCTCTTGCGGGAGGGAGTTCCAGAGTTTTGATGCATCAACAAAGGAGGCCCTTCCTGTGGTCCCACTGAATGCACCTGTGAAGGTGGCGGGACTGAGGGAAAGGCCTCCCCCAATGATTTTAACACTTAGGCAGGTTCATAAAGGAAGATGTGGTCCTTGAGAGAGCTTGGACCCAATCCAATTAGGGCTATATAGGTTAAAACCAGCACTTTGAATTGTGTCTGGCACTGATCAGCAGCCAATAAAGCTGCTGTAATGAGGGTGGGGTGGAGGTGTGGGATACCTGTAACCAGCTCCAATTAATAAACTGGCTGCAGCATGCTTTATGCTGTCAATTCCCTGTTCTCCAAAGGCTACAGATAACCCCATGAGAGAACTCTTATAGTTTAAATGGAAAATGTGTCACTTGTTGCCTCCATCTCGAAGGACAAAGTTTAAGCTTTTCACTCAGGAGCTAGCCCCCACCTCTTAATGGTGCTTACTTCCATGAAAGGATGCATAAAACTGCAGCTATCGACTTAAATAAGATATCCCTTAATACCAAGGACAGCTTATGCCTTCTTAAATTATATTGCAAGTAAGCTTGTGGATATATTTTTTTCAAAAAGTCAAATAGATTGAAGAATAGCTAGTATATAAGGAAAATGCAGTGCTCTTTAGAAAACAGGTATGTCAATAAATTGGAAACCCCCAATTCAAAACAAAGAATGTGCAGTTACAGTAACCCTGAAGTTTGTGCATATTCCCTATCCAAGTAGGTTAACAGGCTTGCCACAGCCTTGTTTCTAAGCACTTCCAGTTCATCACAGGTGGTCAGAAATTCTATGCAAGTGTGCAGATTGCAAATCAGGGCTGTCAGAAAATAATCTGTGCCCAGGGTTAAAACCAAATGGTGCCAAAAAAAGTACCTGTTAGAAAGAATTACTTGAAGAATTACAGAGCCTGCCATCCTTCTAGGACAGGGGCCTCCAAACTTTTCAGTGAGGGCCACATAATATATTTTCCACATTTTTGAGGGCCCAGGGAACGTGTGTGCAGCTAAAAAGGCAAGGTGAGCCTGATGTGGCCCGCAGGCCGTACTCTGGAGACCCCTGTTCTAGGAGACATTCTCCTAGAATATCAGCAATCTCAATGCAAACTGGACTTTTCTTCCTAATCAACTGTGGGATTTGGGCCTTTGGCTGTGCCCACCTGTGGGTTGGGCAGATCAGACTGGAAGAAGGCATTCTGCCAGGCATTGAGGTCTCAACACGCTTAGGGCCTCATATGTCAGTGTCATCATCTTGAAGCTGGCACAGAAACAGATAGGTAGGCAGTGCAAGGCAGCCACAGTGGAGGAGATATGGTGGTATTTATTTATTCATTTGATTTGATTTGTATCCCGCCCATCTGGTCTATATGATCACTCTAGGTGGCTATTTTTTTACTCCACTCAGTAATCTGGCCGCCATGTTCTGGACCTGTTGAAGTTTCCGTAGCAGCCTAATGGGCAGCTCCACATAAAGAGCATTATAATAGTCTAATCTCAAAACTACCAATGCATGGATGAGCATGGCAAGGGACCCAGTGTCAACCCAGAGAACCTCCCCAGGACAGTATCAATGGCCTCTGAGAGGTCAAGGAGGACCAGCAGGACATTTTGCCCCTGTTGGTCTCCCCCAAAAGGTCATCCTGCAGGGCAACCATTGTTGTCTTCATGCCATGATGCAGCCTGAACCCAAACTGGAATGGATCAAGGACATCGGTCTCTTCCAGGACTGCCTGTAGCTGATCTGCCACAGCCCTCTCCGCTAGTTTGCAATGGGTGTACAGTTGTTAATATCATCCGCCGCCAAGATAATTTTTTTTGTGTGTGAAAGGGTCTTACGAGAGTCTTCTTCCCCTCAAGGAAAGACACATTTATGATGGAAGTGGCCCATTCTATCATTATTGGTCTGGCAGCTTTTATAAGCCAGGCCGGGCAAGGCTCTAGAGAGACTGTGACAGCCCTGCAGTGATCAAGCACCCTGTCAACCTCAAGTGATGTCACAGCCTGTAATTGGTTTTAAAACCATTGGACACGCCAGTGCGTGGACATCTCGATTTACTGATGAAAGATGGTGGTAAAAGCATATCCCATGCATGATGAAAGTTGAATTCAAGTGACATCTGGAGAGCCATGAGCTTCCTGCTCGTTTTACAAGGAAAGATTCATGCACATGTATTTCACAGAAAGCAGAATTTACCAACAATCACCAGCATGTTCATGAACTTGCTCTCATTGTCGGTTTCAGCTACAGATAAACAGGATGGGATAAATTGCCTTCTAAAGATTTTTTATTTTGATCATCATCTATATACATTGTTTTACAATTAACGGTCGGGTATTGCATCTGCCACAGGACTCTGGGTATATGTAGCTGCTTTTCATCAACATTAGAGCAGGGAAATTACTTGTTACTCTTGCAGAGTAATAATTAAGTTCTAATTCCCTTAAATCATACAATATAGTCAGCAAATCTTACCTTCATGTCTGTGAGGCTCTACTGTCACCTTTTTGCCTCCTCTGAAGCCACCCCTTCCTCCTCGTCCACCACCTCCACGACCACGACCTCCACCGCCTCCTCGCCCACCTCGGAAGCCACCACGGAAACCTCCTCCTCCTCCACCACCACCAGGAGACTTAAATCCACCTCCTGTAGAACAAATGGAAGAACAGGGGATTGAATATGATTTATTCCTGTAGCAGGCAGACTCCAAGCCTCTAGCACTGACTTTATTTTTTTCAAACCAAAGCCTCAAGTTCCACTAACTGAAGCATGATACAACATACACATACAGTGGATATAAAAAGTTTACACACCCCTGTTAAAATGTCAAGTGTCTGTGATTTATAGAAATGAGACAAAGATAGGTCAAGGCTCCGTTCGCAAGTCGATGCCAATTTTGCCAACAGAGTCATTCGTAAATTAAAAAGTTTGCATGTAGGGACGTTCGTAAGTCAAGGGTTGACTGTATTTGATTTGGATAGACTACCAGAGCCAGCCACAAACTACAGGTCGTACTGGTTAGAGTGCTGCCACTTAGCTATGAAGCTCACCACTTAACCTAAGGCCCATCACCTTCTTAAACTATCCACCAGCGTGGCTGCAAAGATAAAATTAGGAGGGTGGCCATGAAACCAAATTGAGAAAAGGGCCATGCACGAATGTAGCAAATAAACAATGATAGGATACCATGCATAAAAATCTCAGTCCCCATCTACCAACACACATTCATTCTTTTTCCTGTATATAAAGCTTAGGGTTTACAATGAATATTTAAATTTAAACAAGGGAAGTGTGAAAGAAAAGGGAAGAGAGCTTAAGAAAGTTACTTTGCCGCATTACAAGTCTCCGAATCCTCAATCAGCAGAGGGGACCAAAAAAATAAAATCCGGAGAGAATAACCTACCTCGGCCTCCTCGGAAGCCTCCCCGGCCGCCACGATCCCCACGTCCTCCACGAGGGCTAAAACCTAAGGAAG